TGTTGTTTGTTGATTTATTAATGATAGCCATTCTGACAGTTGTGAGGTGATATCTCATTGTGGTTCTAATTTGCATTTCTCTGATGAATAGTGACATTGAGTGTGTTTTCATATGTCTATTGGCTATCTGTATGTCCACTTTGGAAAGGTGTCTGTCTATTCAGGTCCTTTGCCCATTTTTTAATAGGATTGTTTGTTATTTTGGTGTTGAGTTATATAAATTTTTACAAAGTATGTATATAAACCCCTTATCAGATGTATCACTGGCAAATATGTTCTCCCATTTAGCAGGTTGTCTTTTCATTTTGTTTGATAGTTTCCTTTGCTGTGCCAAAATGTTTTAGGTTGATGTAGTCCCATTTGTTTATTTTTTCTTTTGTCTCTCTGGCCCAAGGACATATATTATTATTGATGTATAAAAAATGCAACTGATTTCTGGATATTTATCTTGTATCCAAATATTTTACTGAATTAATTTATCAGTTCTAGTAGTTTTTGGGTGGCATCTTTAGGGTTCTCTACATACAGTATCATGTCATCTGCAAATAATGACATTTTTACTTCTTCCTTTCCAAGGGAAGAATGACTCTGTCCTAGACACACAACTCAGTCTGTCCCAGAGTCTGCCAGGAGCCTTATCTCAGCAGGGCAGGACCCCTGGGAATCAGGAGGATGGGGTTAGTGTTTCTCTCATGAGGAAGAGGTGCTGGTCAGACCTGGAGGGAGATGGGGATTGTGGCCCCTTCCCAGAACCACACAACTCAGCCTTTCCCAGATTCTGCCCAGACCTCTCCAGGTTGGAGTCACCATGAGTTGGTAGGATGGTCCCATGGGAGCCCAGGGAGTGGGACTAATGCAGTGGTTCTCAACCTTCTGGCCCTTTAAATACAGTTCCTCATGTTGTGACCCAACCATAAAATTATTTTCGTTGCTACTTCATAACTGTCATGTTGCTACTGTTATGAATCGTAATGTAAATATCTGATATGCAGGATGGTCTTAGGCGACCCCTGTGAAAGGGTCATTCGACCGCCAAAGGGGTCGCGACCCACAGGTTGAGAACCACTGGTCTAGTGGATCTCACAAGAGGGGAGGCACCAGTGTAGTTCATGGGTAAGTGAGAAGAATAACCCCACCCCACCTTAAAGCTATACCATTCAATCACTGACACCCCCTGAGTCTGCCCAGACCTGTATACCCTGGCCCAGGCAGCTGACACATGGATGGGAGCAGACCGAGCCCTTTTCATGTCTCTGCTCTTCCTACCAGTCTTGATGTGGCTTCTTCTGTAAATCTTTGGTAATAGACTTCTCAGCAGGGCACATGCTCCATAGTGTGGGAAACATGAATTTCAGAGAGAGTGGGGCTATTATATTCCCCCAGGCTGATGCCATATGAAGGGGAATTCCCCACCCAAGAAAGATGGCATCTGTGGTGTGGGAGAGGGACTCAGCACAGGTATCCTGGTGACTGTCCCTTCAGATGTCTCCCCAGAGCCACAAAACCCAGTCTATTCTCTTGTGACTCCAGTCCATTCTGCCTTCCCTCGCTAGAATCCCAGTGTGAGTGGCTGCAGATGAGATTTTGTGTGTTGGTTCTTTAAAAGAACCTGTGTCTCCAGCAGACTCCCATCTCCCTTGGCAGAAAAAATCTCCACCATTTTCACAACTAGACATTATATATACCTCTTCCTTGCTCAGGTGCTGTGGGCTGGGGAGCCCTGTTTGGTTTGGGGACCCCATGCTTCTCAGAGGGAACCTTTGCAGCTGAGATATCCCTCTGGGAGCTCAGCCACCATCATGGGAGCAGAGCCAGCCCTTTTCATGTCTCGGCCCTTCCTACCAGTCTTGATGTGGCTTCTTCTGTAAATCCTTGGTCACAAGACTTCTCTTCAGCCAGTCTTCAGTTGGTTATTCAGGTTGATTCTCTATATTTTAGTTGTGACTCCAGTTTGGCTGAGAGAAGGTAAGCGTAGCTTCACCCACATCACAGCCATCTTGGATCTTCCTAACTATTTTGCTTTTCATATGGAAATAGCAAATGTGCTTTTGTTGTAGATTACTAAACATTGAATGGTACTACTTTCTCTATTTAGCAAGTTATTTTATTTCTCTATCTTAAGATTCAAAAAAAGATAATATCATTCCAGCTACTGAAAAACTGTTATACTATATTCAACTATGTTATTGTTTCAGAAATAAATGACCTTCTTTCTTTATCACTAATCTAACGTTTCTCCGTTGTAACAGAAAGTTCTCCAGTTTGAAAGTAAAAGCACATTTTATAAAAACAGTGGAGCACACTCGGTAATACTTCACCTTATTATAACACCACATTACAGAATAAGATCAACCAGTTTAAACTCCCATGCCAACATTTTCCTGTTAAGTAGAAACACAAATGGTATTTTTTAAATACAAAGCTGAGAAACATTTCTGTACTTTTTATTACTTTGTACTTGATGATCACTTCATATGGCAACAACACAGAGAATAAAACCCAGATGATATAATTACAGAACACTTTTCTTTTTACAATCCCTGACAAAGAATATATATATGTATCAGCCAAGAGATGTTTCATTTTTGTTCTCTTTATAAGTTGGTCTAGCTAGACCACAGAAATTTAGTATGGATCACTGTTTCCTAACAAATCCTCCCAAGGGTGTATCCATCCCAAGGGTGTATCAATCAGCCCAGTTCCACATGGACTATAGAGCTCAGAAATCTGGGGACACCAAAATGTGAGTGGCCCATCATTTGGACTGTTTCCAACTCTGGGTGTAATTGAAACAGTGGATGGGACAAGAAGCCAGAACAAAAAAAGCTTTTGAAAAATAATTGTGATGAAACACTTAGGTATAAATATGAAAGGTTTGTATAGACTTGCGTACATCATGAGACGTACCTGTGGATCAGGGTGCCCTACTACTTGTAAAACAGTGAGGACTGAGGAAACCTATCAGGACTCAGTGATGGTCTGCCTCTTGCAGGGTTCTGCTAATGTGTCATTTCAGGGCAGAGCTTAGTTCTGTTCCCCGAACATGTACTTATTGAGATTAATTTTTCTCCACTTACCTTACCAACACGCCCTACCAGTTCCAACAGGATTAGCATTTAGTGAGGAAAACCGATGACGGAATCACTTACAGAATTTCTGTATGTTTTTCAAATAACATTATATTGATTAATGAGTGTTCTGAATTACTATTTATGTTTCTCCTTTCAAAGATTCCACTTCAAGCAATTATTCTGCTTAATTTATTTTTTAACATTCGACTATGACTTTACTCATATTACTATATTTAAGTTACATGGAAAGGACAACCAAGCAGTTCTGCCCCGTTTCAGGGAAAGTTATCAATCAACACCAAGTACATGGTGACAAATAACAAGGAATGGTGACATCTTTGGGTCCAGGACAAGGAAGAATGGGCTCTGGTGCTATGATTCATCTCCAAGAAGAGTATAGCACAATGGCCAGCCCAAGCCGTACTGACACTGAACCGTTAACACTGGTCACAAATTCGGATCTCTTCTCTGAAGCTAGCAAATCAAGTGAAATAATTGGGTTAAAAAACGTTTTAGAATGAAGCCCAGCTAAGTTTAAAAACCATGCTCTTGATACATTTTCCTTTCAAAATTTACATAAAACATACTTTCCCACTCTAAGAGCCCAGATTTTTTTCCCCCCTCACGCAGCCCACCATGTAACTGCAGATAGACTATTCTGCCTCAAGATGGAAAAGTAGGGAGGAAATTAATAGCATCTGCATAATATTCTCTCTGCACACTGTTGTTGGGTGGGAAATAGAAAATTTTAAAAAGAAAGGAAGAAATGTTCCATCTTAGATTCTCATAATCTCTTATTCCGTAGTTCCTGAATCCGACTCTGATGCTAAGGTGACAGTGTATACATGAAATTTTTGTTTTCAGTGAAGGAGGCCAGGACAGAGAGGAAGTTACCTCTTTTTCTTCAAGAGTTATCAGATGGTACATGCTCCTCAAGACCCTCACTGTCTCAGACTAGAGCATGCTGTAGGATCACAAGGCCTTCCTTGTAAGCTGGCTTTCTTCAGTGGCAAACTCACAGATCCAGCCTGCAGCTTTTACAGCTCACATCTCCAACCATGTGTGGCCAGGGAGCATGACCTGGTCTTGAACTTTCCTGTACTGTAGGCTAATTACCTAGCTAACTTGTTAATAAGAAATGCTCTGCCAGTGGCCTCTGGGGACAGGGTGGAGATGAGTTCTGAGTGGTTGGTCAGAATCATATCACAGTTTGGACAAAAAAAAAAAAAAAAAAAAAACCCACAAAAATAAACAGATGGGTACCACCAATATGACCAAGGAAAATTCTGCCCATTTTTATAGTTGAAATTTTAAAGACCCCAAGGTTACTTCTGGTTTTTGGTTTGTCAAGGAGACCATGAGTGGCTGTGAAACCGGCAGATGCCTCTGCTTAATCTTTAGCACAGAGACCTTTGCTTGCATTCCTATGGAAGGACTGTAGTATAGTTTCCTAGGCCTTGCCAAGTAGACCTAAGACTCAAAGAATCTCTACTGTGGTTCTGCTCTGTTAGGAACTTCCTTCTCTTGACAAAGTAGAATTTGTTGGGATATGAAACTATCAGCACTGGGTACACATGTCAATATTTTCCAGAGGACTATGCTCTGCAAGATATCTACCTTGTTCCATAAAGAGGATCGCCCCGGCTGTCACATACTAGTAGGAGGGAATTCTCTGCTACCCCAAGAATAAATAGAAATTGTCAAAAACAATGGTTTGTTTTTTTGTTTGTTTGCTTTTTGTTTTTTAGTTCAATTTTTGATGGAGAACAGTATGCAAGGTTATATATAGCCTTGAAAAAGGTAACCTTCAGATTTAGGTAGCTGGATTCACCCTTTGGAATTTCTCTGAAGTGTCATGAACCTCTAGTTATTTCATTGAGAAAATTTGAAAAAAATATGATTTAATGTATTGCTCTTATTTCTTTTTAGGTCAGTCTTGACTCTCGAGTTAGAGAGGTGATCAATAGAAATCTGTTGGATCCCAATCCTCACATGTATGAAGATGCCCAACTTCAGATATATACCTTAATGCACAGAGATTCTTTTCCAAGGTTTTTGAACTCTCAAATATATAAGTCATTTGTTGAAAGTACTGCCAGTTCTACTTCTGAATCTTAATTTTCACTTAAAGAAATCATTTTGGAGGGCTGGGATGGGAAATAAAAGTTGTCATATAACATCAGACACGGAGTTCCTGGAGAACTACAGTTTAGCATTCCTCAGGCTACTGTGAAAATAAAACCATATGGTCTTTGTCTCCATTTTTATCAAGGTTATCCATGGTTAACTTTGGAGAAAATACCACATAAAACAATGAATTGCCAAATTAAGTTTGTTTTACTCAACACTCATTCTACTTGCAAGCAAACTGTATTTGTAGTCCTATGAACAGTCTCCTAGTGTATTTCCAGAGACTGCATGTGCAAAGTCAAACTGCTTCTTTTGCCATGTAGTTGTTGTAATATTTAATCCAGTGACATAACTTATATCTGTATTTAAGGACTTTTGTGCAATATGGTCTTACAGAAATAATTGCCAAAAAGTTGGCTGTAGTTTGCGTTTTTAAATATAATCTAAGACAGACAAAGCCAATTTTTAAATTGTAAACAATAGTATTCAACATGCTATATACTGTGTTCAGTACACTCATTTTGAAGCCAATATATCTGTACATGAAAAAAGAGCTATTTATCTCTGTTTGTTGGGAAATCCCAATGGGGGATTCCTCTGGTTGTTCACTGCCAAAACTGTGGCATTTTTATTACAGAAGCATTTGTTGTGTAAAAAATAATAAGATGAAAAGAGAAAAAAAGCACAAAATAATTTGAAGATCTTCTATCTCAATGACAAATCAAAGAATGATATTGTTTTTAATTGTAACAGAAGAAAATGAATCTATGTATATATCACATGTCCAATACTGTAATTAATTTATTAAAGGCTGGCTCTCCAGTTCTCAAACAGTTGTGTAATGTATGTACTTTAGCAAGAAAAAATGATAAGCTTGATAACTTAGTTTTGAAATATAAGGAAAGGATCTAATAAAGGAATGCCTACATGTAGCATCATAAAAAATGTTGAAGAAAAACATCTGTCCCTGTGGCATATTTTCCTTGAAAGTGAAATCCAGTGAAAAGCTAAGTTTTTAACTAACACAAGTTTTATAAGGGTTATAAAGAAGATAATTCTCTATTTCAGACCTTAACTGTTTTCACATAGTATCTTAAGAATTACTTATTTTAAAAATGTTGAAACCAAACTATTAATTCTCATCCATAACTAAAAGGCAGTACAGTGCTCAAATCTCCTAGCTGCCATATTATTTTTTAAAGTCTCACTAAATCTTTAAGACAAATACTTGCCTGACATTGGCATGCACTTTTTGACATTCAAGAAAACAGTATCCTATTGTGCACCAACACAAAAAAGTCAGAGTCATATTTATATCAAGACGTTACATTTGAATATTAATATACCCTGGAGGCTATTTTTTTAATCTTACACTTATTAAATATAATATTGAGTAACCTAAAATGAAAGTTTTAAAAATATTTATATCCAATGAAAATACTGGCCTTATATTAAGGATGATATTAAAATTATAGGTTTTTCATTGTCATTTTTAACTACCTCTCATTTTTTAATTTATTAAACATTAAAAAAATAAGTTTGGGTTTTCTTTTTAAATTTTATTTTACTTGAAAGGTTGGCATTGTAAGTTTCTTTTTCCATAAACTTAAAACATGTTAAGAATTGTTTTTTTTAAGTGAATTTAATTTTCTAATTTATATAGGATTCAGGAGATACGTTTAAAAGGGCTATTATCTATTCCCTATGCAAATATTTTAACTGTTGCAGTGTTTAACAAAATGGGATTTTAAAAAATGTTTGAAGAGTAGAAAACAAAAATGTTCTGTTTACACTGGCGTTGCTGACTATCCTATCATATTCAGCACTTTTAAACACATTATTTATGAAAATGTACTTAAAATACAAGATAGAAAATATTTATAATGATAATTTCTTTTAACAAATGCCTGTTTTTGTCTGAAAGTGTTAGTGTGTTTAGACATACTTTATCCATGTCAATTAGATATTTACTATTTGAATAATAGTTTTCAGTAATATGTTGAAAAATGATAAAGATGTTTACAAAAAGTCATATTTTTTTTCCTAAAGAGTGAAGAAAAACCTAAAAGAATCATCACTTCTATTGTGAATTTCTATTGTTCCTGAATTATTTAATTTTTTGGTTAGAATTGAGTTTATTATGCTACTATGATGTATACACATATATGTTGTAATATCATACTTGTTGCTGTGTTTGAAGCACAATAAATTGGTGCACATGACTAGAAAATATGTACTATATTATGATATACTGCATGCATCAATCTTTTAAATGTACACTTTATATTCTTGTTGTTACTATATATGATGGTGACCTGCTAGTCGTAAGTTATCTTTATAAGATACTTTGGGTTCTTAGATGAATTGTCTGTTTGACAATACTTTTAATATTTTACCAAATGTAAAAGATAAGGGCCCTTATAAAGAGTCCTGATCTGTAACTTGGGCATTTGTAGAATACAGATTTTGAAGTTAGTATATCCTTTTGAAACCTGATTAGGAAGTTGTTTTGAGAATGATTCTAGAGTAGATTTTACACATCAGATGTCCCTAACCATGCTATGTAGCATTTCTGTGCTAAATTCCTACTTTGGAGGGAGGGGAGGGTTACTCATTTAATTTCAAAATGTTTAAAGTTTCTATCTAAGAGTATGTCTGTATATTTGAAACTCTACAAATTTGCTTTAATTACAGAGCTATAATAAACAAACAAATGCCCTCAAATGGTGTCTATGCTACCATTCCAAGAGCACAATATTTGTTTTGGTAGAATTAGACTTTCCCAGTGAGTGAATTCCTCCCTGAGGAAAAATTAGCACTTTAGAAGGTACACATGTGTTTCAGATTGCCAAGATCTCTTTGTATACTGTTAGAATCTGCTAATGCGCACAGAAAGAGGTTAATGCTTTTTCTATAGTGCCTATGATGGAAAGAAAAGTAGAGGATATAGATTATATATAAATATATAGAAATAAACTGGAGAGCCAGAGGTGGATCTTGCATATAGATCACACTAGTAATGGATGGGTGACACTTCTTCCTTACTATAGATAATTATTATGTTACCCAAAGGTAATATAGATACCCCAACAGTGTTACAAGGCAGCTGTAAGTGCAGTAGGTGCACTGGCATATGAACAACTATAGCAAAACACAATTTTGATGTCAATGTTATTCAGTGCAAAAATCAAGACCATAATGTGGTCTTTTTTTTTTTTAAATCTTAAAATCTGTACATAGGATGACCAGTTTTGATATTTGGTCATGGTGCATGGGGTGTTTAATAGTAAGTATCCTTTAACGTTGCCTAGATTCTTATTTACAGAATGAAATGTATATCCTATTTTTACCTGATAATTCAGTTTTGCAAAAGGACTATAGAAATAGGTAGATAATGTTTATTTATTAGGGGCAAAAATACATTTTCACCATTTTAATCTGATTTAAAATAATATCTGATTCTTAATTTTTAATTTATCTATTTTCCCCATACACTTTTAACTTATGCTGAAAAAAATAAGTCATTGTAATTGTGACAAATTACATTTGCAAAAAATACAATATATCAGATGCATCGAGGAAAAAATGTACAATCAGAAAATAAAATAAGAACCTTGTGAATGCCACCTAAATTTCCTAGATCTAAAATGCCTTTAACTAGTACCCTATGAAACATGAATTTTGAAAACTTTGCACTGCATACTTTGGCAAATTATTGTGAAAGGTGGTCAAGCTATTTCCAGAAAATCTTCCGGCCTGTGTATTTATGCTGATAGTTATAATGGTTAATTTTCAAAGTGTACTTTTGCAAAGGCTTCTATTTATGTGCTCTTTTCAGTTCTTTATAAATTTCTGACAAATATACAATGTTAGTTCTCCTGAGAAAATAATATTAAATCTGTAAAAATTTTAGCTATTCCTCACTTGCTACAACTGAAAATATTTATCAATAAAACTGATACCAAAAATTTGTTTCAGATGTTCCCTGAAACATTCTTAATATTATCCTTGCAACACACAACAGGTTGTCGAGTTTTATTTACAAATATGAAGCTTTAATTACAAATGTGATTTCAAGCTACATTTCTGTCCTGTGACTGGGCAAACCATGTATCCTGAGCATGTTTCCTCATTTCAAATGCAGAATATTCTCTATAAGATGATCATAAGAAAGAAATGAAATAAACATGGATAAAGTGTTATTTTAACAAAGTTCTCCAGCTCAATAAAAATTACCATTTTTCAAGAATGTATACACTAAATGCCATTTTAATGCACTTCTCTCATATTTTTTTCAAACCATACTTTAAAAGTATTACTTAGTTATTCATCCAAAAAATACAACCAAGATTATTTTCAGATGGAGGAATATATGAATGTCATGCTTTGTTCAATAATGTGATTCAAAATCACTGTTTTCAGTTCACTAACATCATTCTGAACCTACAATTAAGAAAAAAAATCACACACATGGAGATATATATGGTTAGATGTGTGTGTATAATAGAGGTTTAAATCATAGTTTAAAAAAGAAATCATTAAAAAAAAAAGAAAAATCATTTACAAGAATGGGGAGAATACAAATACCAAATAATTTGCCAAATATATATGTGGGTGGGGGGATAGAAGTAAAATTGTTATGAGATTGGCCATTAGAAAACATTGATATCAACATGGAATAGAAAGCATTTTTTAATATTAGAGTAGTATGATTTTAAAATTAAGTTTACTAGGAAAATAAAAGAATAAATGTATTTGTATGCTCACAAAATTTAGCATTAACGTTTTATTTTTGAATAATTTCAAGTTTACAGACAAATTGCAAAGATAGTACAGAGAGGTTCCATGTACAGCACACGCATGAGATATCCGTCACATAAAGAACCAACATCCGTGCATTAGGTCTACACTTCAGATTCCCTGAGTTTTGCCTTCTTCTGTCCCAGGACCCCTTCAAGATGCCACATTACATTTAGCCATCGTGTCCTTAGGCTCCTCATAGCTGTGACAGTTTCTCAAACTTCTCTTGCTTTTGAGGACTTTGACAGGTTTAAGGAGCACTGGCCTAGCATTTTGCAGAATGTTCCTCAGTTGGAATCTGTCTGACGTCTCCCCCATGATGAGACAGGTGTTACCATTTGGGGAAGGGAGACCCCCGAAGTAACGTGGCATTTCTACCACATGGTGTCACCGGTGCACACCACCATCATGACTTATCACTGGTGATGTTGCCTTTGGTCATCTGGCTGAGGTAGTGTTTGTCAGGTTTCTCTACTGTAAAGTAATAGATTTTTAAGAGGTATTATTGCATGTAAATTTATTGGACATTTATATTGAGCTAAAAAAAAGTTATGAGTAGATTCCTCAGCAGTGCTGTTAGGTTCCATTAAATGACTGCTAACAAGTACTATGAAGAAAATACAATGAACTGAAACGTGAAATGGAAAAATTCCTAAACAGTGTTAGCTTGAATACTTATTTAATGGAGGGGAAAGTGAATTTTTTCCTTAAAATTAGTATAATTACCTTAATCCTCTACATCTCTTTCGTAGTAAAGATGTTAGTCTTACTAATTGTCATAGTAGGTACTTTAAACTGATAATTATTTTGCTGAGTTTTTCTATACCGCCCTCCAATGAACAATAAACACTGAATATTGAAATAATGTAGAAGTCTTGATTTTTTCCCTTGCTTTAACCTATTTGTCATAAACGCAGTTTCTTGTATATGATTTCAGTATATTTGCTAAATATAAAAACTAATTTAAATGTGATTGGTTCTGTAAAATTTATCATATTGAACATATGTCATTTTTTTTACTACCATGTTCATTGTACTTAGTAATCTATATCCTTATTTTGGAGCCCACCAATATTAGTTGGCCATAAAGAAATTGTGAATGCATGATGAATACAATTTAAGAGATACCATGCTTGGTTATTTTGTAAAGCCAGAATAACTGTAGGTACCTACAAACTGAATAGATAATCCAGATTATATTTCCTCCCATTTAAGTTTTGGGTTTTGTTTCCTCTTTCTTGAGTCTATTTTATCATTTTACCTATGTACAATAGACACTGAAAACGCTAGCATTTTCAAATGTAATAGAATTTGAGCATGACAATAATGTAAGAAAACTTAGAAGTCTCAAACTATGTATATTTGAGTTTTCAAAGTAAATCAAATTACAGCTGTTTTCATTTGACCATATTGTGTGAACCTATGGATATTACTGTAAAATGCACATGCATTACACTGACTTTAAAAATGTTTTGAATCAATAAAGAATCCACCAATATATCCTTAACAAGTTACTGTTTCCTCATTGGTGTAACATAGGAGTAAAACATACACTCATTTATGTTACTTAAATTGCTTACACATCCGTGGGAAAATAACTTCTGACTAGATTCTTTACATTGTTCCATAAGGTTATTTTTGCACCTTTTACAAATAAAAGTATATTCTCGAAATGACTTGTTTTGAGAATTTAGCTGAGAGATTTATCATGTTGAGTTCAAATGACTCCCACCATTTCTGTGGTTAAAAAAAAAAAGAACTCAAAGTTTTGACTTGGGAAATAACTGTTCCTCATAGAGATGTAAACAATTTGATCAGTCCTGTTGTGCATCGGACCAGAATTAATACGGATTTTAACCACTGCTTTAAAGGAAAACGATTTTATAGTGTGGCTGGAATGCACATTCAAACTGAGATAAACAATGTGATTAGTTGGAGCTTTGAAGTAGCAAAACCTATTTCTGCCTTGTACTTGGAGATGCATCTCATTCTCCCACTCGCTTTGCATCTGTATGTGGAGCTAAGGATGCACAGAGGCCATGCGAGCTCCTTTTGTCTGAGATCGCGGAGTCCCGGGCGGAGTGTTAGGCCCTCGAGAGCCAGGTATTTCCCCCCCCAGCCACTCCTCCGGCGGGCTGTGCAATGGTCTTTTGAATAATGAAAAGCATTACATCAATTCACCTTCGGCATTCCCACCCGCTATTAGAGTTTTGTTGTGTTTTTTTGGGGGGGGCGGGGGAGGTTGGGGAGGTTGGGGAACAGGCCACGGGTCGGGCTCCGGAGGCTGTTCCCTGTGTTGACTGGAACCAGGCGTCACAACCTCCTTACAAAGCAGCTGAGGAGTAGTGCGAACGGGCCGCGGGCGGCAGGCGAGGAAGGAAGGCCCCCGGGAGCAAGTTCCAAGGCAGATAAGGGACCGGAAAGAAGACTTCGCGAAATCGCTCCTTGGTTGCCTTCCAGCACTGCTGCCATGTCCTAATTGGTATGAGCCTCATCCACCGACGGACAAAAAACCCCCCCAAAAAACAAAAAAAGGTCAGCTCTCGCCCTCTTTCCAAACAATTCCATCTTTGAAACGAAAGGCCAGGCTGGCCCGGGCGCTTCCTTCGCGGCGACCTCAGCCTCGGCGCGAACATGAGACTGCGCCCCATGCGCTGCCAGAAAACCCTCGCGCGGGGCATGGGGAGCAAACCCTCGACGTCAGAAGACCGAGCGGCGACCTGCGACTTCCCCCTCGCTGACCGGCTCACCCGCCCCGCCAGCCAAGTTCAAGGAGGCGTTTACCACCCAGCGTCAGAGGAGGAGCCCAAGGTCTCCGGGACCCACCCCCACCAACTTCCGCTCCGCGCCCTCAACTTCCGGCCTCTGCGAATATTGCGGCATGTAAAGATTTGGCCGGAAGTTCCGGGAGGCCCTTTAAACCCGGCGGGTGTCCTGGGCCGGGCTCGGTCAGCTCGCGCCCCTATTGCCAAACCCCGCGCGCTATCGCGAGACTCGGGAGGGGGGACCTTCCGGTCTTGGTCCGGCGGGGCAGTGTGGGCTCAGCGATGCGGTCGCGCCTCCTGTGGGGTGCTGTGCGGTGTCTCCGGGCGCGCCCGGCCGTGGCCCCGGCCCCCCGGCACCGGAGCTGCGGGAGCCTGCCGGTGGAGGAGCTGTTCGCCCGCGGCGGGCCCCTGCGCACCTTCCTGGAGCGCCAGGCGGAGTCTCAGTCCCAGGTGCAGGCCCCCAGGGGGCCTGAGCTGCTGGCCGTGGCCAAACTGCTGAGCGAGAAGGAGCGGGAGCTGCGGGAGACCGAGCCCTTGCTGCACGGTAAGGGCCGCGCCCGAGGAATCGGGATGCCAGACATGCTCCTGACGCTCCGCCGGCATTTCCCCCTGAGCCGCTGGCCGGGGCCTGCACTGTCCCCGAGGTTGAAGCTCTTCACTTAGTTGCAGCCCTTTTTGGTTTGGATCAGAGGCCAAGGCGTCGTGAAGTGCGTTTGGAGCCAAACCCCTCCTCTTTGAGCCCTTGTGTGCCATTGACGCGGCCCCCCCCACCCCCCGCAGCGTTTCTCAAAGTGCGGTAAAAGGACCACCTGCAGTGGTGTCAGGGGCGGTGCCTGGTAAAACGAGACGACTCCGAATCTGAGAATTGTGTGCTTTTAACAAGTTTCTCAAGTGACTAGCATGCATTCGGATCTGGATGGAGCTTAAGTTTCTGCCTTTCTAGAAGCTCTCAGGGATGCCAGGCTACTGACTGGTTCGTGGGCAATCCATTGGGTAGCAGGGCTCTGGGGGGCGGGGTGTGTGTGTCACGGTGTTATTTGGGGAAAGAGAATTAATTATAATACAGCTAAAAAGTGAAAACAGCAGATATCTGAATAGACCTAGTAGAGCAAGGAGAACTTCCTGGGAAGGCCTGTATGCATAATCCATGGACACAGACCATGGTGTGGTAAAGGCCTGGGGGGCCTAGCGGGGAGGCGTGGGAGTGTGAGGGGGAGGGGTTCATGGGGGAAACGGGGACATCTGTAATACTTTCACAATGAAGATCAATTTAAAATAAAAGGAATAAAGGCCCACCCTTAGAGGATATAATGTAGTTCAACTTTTATGGATCCTTTACCATACATACTCCAGGCTTGGCTTAGCTTTCTTGAGGTATTAACTCATCCAGTTCATATAACAAACTGTACAGTAGGTCCTGTTAGCCTCCTGTGAGAGAGAGAGGGGGAACCTGAAGCATAGAGGTAAAATGAGCAGCTTTTCAGGAGTGGAGTTGGGATTGGAATGACTCCAGATCTCATGCTTTTAATCCCCGAACTCTTCCTTAAACCAAGGGAGAAGCGAGATTGTGGGAACTGGCAGGTTGTAAGGGGACCATCAAATACTAATGTAAAAAGGTTGATTTTGTCCTGTTGGCAGAAGGGAGCCAGCAGAAGTTTTTAGATTGGGGAGTGAATGTTCAAAATAGATTTGTGGCTTAGGAAACTGGATTTGTGGTGGCTTAGAAATCAGCCTGGAATGAGGGTGAAGGTGACATGGACAGCAGTGTGAAGGCTCGTGCAACAGTCAGGGTCAGAGTTAAGCAGAGTCCAAATTAAGTGATTTAAGAGAAACTAAAAGAACTTTTGTTAATATGAATATTTCATGGAGGTAGAATTATAACGAAGTTCAAAAGCTTCTTTATATTTATATAGATTACCTTTTATTTATGCTTTCTTTTATCATTAGCAAAATATTTTTTAAAGCTACATGTTTATGAAAACGAATGTATAAAATGTTATTTTTAATGGCAGTTATTAAAAGGACAAGAAAGACATTTTTCCCTTCAGCTACAGTAACAAAATTATTTCCTTAAATTCCGTTGGCAATTTAGCACTAATTAAGGAAAACTTAACCTACTATTTATTGCCTTTATCTCTTAGATGAAAATGAAGACCTAAGGAAACTTGCAGAAAATGAAATAGCCTCCTGTCAAAAAGAAATAGCTCAATTGAAGCATCAGGTATAGTATTTATACAAAGAATAAAGTAGCATTAGTACTATTATTTCTAAAGACTTTTATTAGATGTTAATAAAAACAACATAGGACTTAATTAGTTTGTTAGTATTTAGAAATATAAACTGTTTTTTAAAGCCGGAAAAAGGTACTCCCTGTGGTCCTATTTTTAGCATACTAAAAGGATTTATAAAGCTCTGGCACACGGATGAATGTTACATGAATAGGATTTGCCAGAAAGGCAAGGTAATATTGTTATTCTGTATCCTCTCTTTTGTTTATTTAAAAGATGAGGATGGGGTAGACTATGAGTAGAAGATCTAACAAATCATTTAACCTTTGTTAGCCTCATTTTCCGTTCCATGTAAAATGAGGGAATTGGACCAGGTCTTCGAAGGGCCTTTTCACTTCCGAAATTGCAAGTTTCTTTTCCACTTAAAGATTTTTTAAAAATGCAATTTTTTTTCCTATCATGCTAGGTTGCACATTTCAAAAGGATAGATTCTTTTGCTTTCTTCACACAATAATGTCCTACTCACAGCAGGTACTTAATCATTCACTGAATAGAGAAGTGGTGTAAAGTATACATGAACACCAAAAAAACAAACCTGTAAGTGCTAGCTGAACCTTATAACATTTATAACATAGGTGTTAATATTAATATTTTTTAGAAATTATGCTTTTACGGATCTAATTGGCAAGATGGTTAGAAGTAATCAGCAGTATTAAGTTTGCTTAGAGAAACTTTAAGTAAATTAAATATTTAAAAAATCCTGCTTCTAACCATTTGCCTCTTAGAGTTTTAAGTAATGATTTATTATAGAAGGGGTGATATTTTTTTATTTACAGATTATCTTACTTTTGGTTCCCTCAGAAGAAACAGATGAAAATGATTTGATCCTGGAGGTAACTGCAGGAGTTGGGGGTCAGGAGGCAATGTTGTTTACTTCAGAGATGTTTGATATGTATCAGCAATATGCTGCTTTTAAAAGATGGCATTTTGAAACCCTGGAATATTTTCCAAGTGAAATAGGTCAGTGAACTGTTTAATTTGTTTGGGGGAAAGTGTAGATTTATCTACGTGTGTCCTAAGAAAAGGGTTGGAAAGACTAGGCTTTCGAATTTATTTGTAAGGATGCTTAAGTAGTTTAAGCTCATCATTTACCTAAATAAGTTTGAATGCAAATATACCAAGGGCCTAAAAAATGTTAGTCAATACTAACCACTGAATGACTGTCTTTTAAAAGTGGTATTTTAGATGTGTTGAGTCAGTTAACACCATAAATGCTTTAGGTTTAATAATTAACAATAAATATATTACATATTAAAAACACCATCATAGACTTGTTCAAGTTTTTCGGTATATTTTACCATCTATAGGTTGTTTTGTAGCTTTTTAAAATATGTCTCAAGATGGTAGAAGTGATGGTCAAATGTTAATAAATGATAAGAATTAAAAAAGAATTCTGTTTTCCCAATATTTTGAAGGTGGGCTTCGACATGCATCTGCCAGCATTGGGGGTTCAGAGGCCTATAAGCACATGAAGTTTGAAGGAGGTGTGCACAGAGTACAGAGAGTGCCAAAGACGGAGAAGCAAGGCCGCATTCACACCAGCACCATGACTGTGGCAATATTACCCCTACCCACTGAGGTAAGGCATCACAGTGCCCCTTCTTGGAATCGTGGGCCTAGCACAGTGCTTTGTCCCAGAGGAACACTCACTTGACTGAATTGTGCATCTCATTGTTGTATTTGGCCTTTATCACATATTTTGAGTTATTTTTGAGAATGTGGTATCTCAGTCCAATAAGTATGATTTTATAACAAACTAGAGGCCCAGTGCACGGGGAGTGGGCCTAAGCCGTCAGTCGGACATCTGTAGCGCTCCCGTCACCACCGCTGTGCTCGCCAGCCGTGAACCTGGCTCAGGGCTTTTGGCTGAGCGGTGCTCCCCCTGTGGGAGTGCACGGACGATCAGGGGGCAGCTCCTGCATTGAACATCTGCCTCCTGGTGGTCAGTGTGCATCACAGTGACCGGTCAATCTGCCTTTCTGTCAATGTGCATATTAGCCTTTTATTATATAGAATAGGACTAGAGGCCCAATGCATGAAATTCATGCAAGAGTAGGCCTTCCTTTCCCCGGCTGCTGGCACTGGCTTCCCTCCAGCCGCCGGCAAGCACCTGGGCTTTCCTCGCAGCCCCAGCTTCGTCCAGAAGGTCTTCCGGTCTAATTAGCATATTACGCTTTTATTATTATAGATGGGAAGAATTAAAGATGTGTCAATCATCAATTTGTGCACTGTCTATTAATTTTTCTCTACTGTGAAGTTTAAAGTAGTTATATTGAGACCATCTCTGCAGGAGAAATAGTATTAACCTAATTTAATTAGGGTTTAAGACTAATGATCTTTGCTTTGTGTTGATTGGTTCTCAGAGTATCAATAGCAAGAATCCTGTTTTAATAAGGTGACAATTTGACAATTACTACTTCATAACCCAGTCATATTAAAATGGAATATATTCTTAGTGTTCACAATGATTATACTTTCTTCTCACAAAGAAGTTTGTTTATATAATATTTATAAAATAACTTAGTGAGGATGTTGTTTCACTTACATTCCTTTTGCTGAAAATAAACATTTGCCTTTCCTTCAAAATGAAGTAGGTATGATTTGAGAAGGAAGTTTAATTAAGGCTTTCTCTTTATTAATTGGGGGGGGGGGGCGCAGGAGTGCTATTTGACTGTGTAACAGGAGCCATATGTAGATACTAATCACTTTGGTTCAAGCATCTTGGGGATGGAAGAAGAGAGTTTTCCGGAAAAGGTGGAAACTGAGGTCCATGTATCATCTAATTCTAGCAGCTTGTAGGGAGAAAGGGAGGGCCTGTGGATGGTAGGATTCTTACTGGTAGGGTTGTAGACATGTCACAGAGTGGTCCACGGTTATTCATGAAACAGTTTCTTTAATCTAGTGCTTCTGGTGGTGATTCCCAGAACAGAGCATTAGACTGACATCAGATCCCAGTGTCTTTATGAATTGAATCTTGGCTTGGCAATTTCCCTTTGCCTCTCCTCTGCCTCCAAAAATACTTAAGTCCTCCTTTAATTAAACAAAATAAGCCTTTCCCATAGTTCCTAAGCTAGCATTGTTTTTTCCCTCTGCCAAAGTCTTCTTGAACTCAGAAATATTCGGCAAAATCTCATTTCAGCTCAAATACTTACATTTCTAATAATAACATTAAGTTCTGCTGTTCATGTGATAAAAAGAGGATAATTTATAGAGAAGTCCAGTTTCTGAGGATTAGGGTTTGTTTTTATAGTATTTTGATCTGCTACTCTTCCAAAATGAAAAGTTTAAAAAAAGGTATCCTTTTAACTACCTTCTATTAAAATTAAACCTTCTAAATTTCATAAGTTCTATACATATTTATATTTATGGCTATTTCATTCTTTTGAAGAGTTCATATACATAATACTTTTAATCCCAAATTTCTCTCTTATGTACAGATTAATCTAGTGATTAATCCTAAAGACTTGAGAATTGATACTAAGCGAGCCAGTGGAGCTGGGGGGCAGCATGTAAATACCACCGACAGTGCTGTCCGGATAGTTCATCTTCCAACGGGTATGTACTTACTTCTTCAACACAAAACATTGAAGAAAGAAATCAAATTCTGAATGACTTAATTTTTCACTGAAATAGATCCTCAATTACCAGAGGAATCTGTACTAAGGATTGTTATTAAATACTTGATTTATTTAGACTCCTTGGCTGAAACTCTGCAGGGTAGTTGCAAAGCCAGGAAGATGAAGGGATGGATCTCTAAACCCAAGGAGTTTCCATATTAGTGACAATGACGAGGTGTGGATAGCCCTTCCAGGTAGCCTTCTCAAATTTATATTGAATAGATATCACTATTTTAAAAATCCCCACAATATAGTCATTATCATGGATTCTTCTTTATAAGAAAACTAGAGGCTCAGTGCATGGGACTAGTGCACTGGGCGGGGTGGGGTGTCCTTTAGCCTAGCCTGTGCCCTCTCGCAGTCTGGGGCTCTCGCAGTCTGGGACCCCTGGTTCCTTACCGCCTGCCTGCAGCACAGGTGGCAGAAGCTCCGGACACCACCGCTGCGCTCGCCAGCCATGAGCCTGGCTTGCTGCTCCTTAGCACTGCCTCAGAGGCAAAGAGGCTCCCACCACCTCCGCTGGGCTCTGAGCCCGGCTTCTGGCTGAGCGATGCTCTCCCTGTGGGAGCGCACTGACCACCAGGGGGCAGCTCCTGCATTGAGCATCTGCCCCTGGTGGTCAATGCATGTCATAGCAACCAGTTGTTCCACCATTTGGTCGATTTGCATATTACACTTTTATTATATAGGATGCTCTAAATCACTAGTTTTTAGTTTTTGAAGGGAGAAGGACATGGATTCTTTTGAGGAAATGAAAGCTTGGATCCCCTACCTGGAAACATACATGTATACAAAGTTTTCCATATAATTTCAGGGTCTTCTTTCAATTAAGTTCATCCACAGACCACCAGGGGTTCTGAGTCTAGATCAGGGGTCCTCAAACTAAGGCCCGCGGGCCACATGCAAATACAAATATTGTATTTGTTCCTGTTTTGTTTTTTTTACTTCAAGATATGTGCAGTGTGCATAGGAATTTGTTCGTAGTTTTTTTTAAACTATAGTCCGGCCCTCCAACGGTCTGAGGGACAGTGAACTGGCCCCCTGTTTAAAAAGTTTGAGGACCCCTGGTCTAGATAGTTAAGCAATGGAGCTATATAAATACTTCTTGGGCCTGCAGTATCCTATTAGGTAGAACTGTAGTGATTCACTTGTGATAAAGAGCAGATGAAGAGCAAACCTGAGTTATCTAGAAAGAGAACACAAGACCTCTCTTACAGTGGCCTATCTCAAACAGGTATAAATACCATTGACTAGTAGTGGTTGATGGGAAGGATAGTTTGATGTATTTTTCTTTTCTTAAATATGCAGAACTTCTCATGTTAAACCTTAAGACGATGTCTTATGTAATACATAGTATATAAACTAGAATAGAGAAAAACGGATGGAAATATTAAAAACATGAATAGTGATGATCTCTGGTAATGGGATTAACTTTTTAATATATTTGTTTCTATGATGAGATTTTTAAAAATTGATACCTCGTTGAGGGTATGAAAAAGCAATCCATATTAAATTATAAATTTTTTAATCATATTTGAGCATTTATTCCAATACTGCTGGCAGCATGGGGGAGCAGCAGGTCATCCACAAAAATCTGCTCTGCAACCTCTCCAAAGCAGCTGCTTAGCTAGGGTGGGACCAAGATTATATGGGGAAGTAGGCTCTGCAGGCTGGGGTGGGACGCCATTGTTTTGGCAACTAGGTTGTTGATCTTTCCATGATAATAGGCAGTTCTTCAGTGAGAATGGATCTCATCCCAAGGGTGACTCCCTGGGGTTTCTAACTCCCAGCCAGGCTAGAATATCCTTTCTTTAATCAGAGTAAGGCAATCATGGTTAACAGAACATGATTAATATTTCCCATAAACATAGCTAGTCCCCAATGTTCTATTTTTGCCCCTAACATTTATGCCACAAGAGCAAATAATCTATTGCTGCCTGATTCTCTGGAACTGCCTCCCTGATCTGGCTCAGCTCTTGATTTATCCCATATGTAAGTCTAGTAGTGGCATTCAGGGCTTTTACCGTGCTACAAGCCAGCCAGTTCACTTTTACATTAAGGGAGCCCCACTAGCAGCGGAACAGAAATGGTTAAAGCAGTATATCCAGCATGGCTCTACACAGATGGAGATCTTTGTTGCAATCCCGTGCCATGGCTGTGCGGTCTCTTTTGGTTTGGATCATGTGATGTTTCTGGAGCATAAAGATGGTCGTTCATCCCAAGAAACAAGCCCCCCCCCCCCCCCCGCAGTGTTTGCAGGAATATATGAATAAATAGTTACTTCACAAATCAGAAACTAACCAGCCAGCAGCTGGTAGTATGTCCATTACTTTCAGGGAGGGAGAAATTATCAGAGCAATTCATATTGTAATTATTAGATACTTAAAGACAATAACTTAGAACACCTGGTAAAAATCAGACATTCACCACAGGACGTTACTGCAGCAACCTTTAGAAAAATCATCCCTGCATCCTTTTCCCAGACAGTGGGTCCCAACGTATAAAGGTCCCCATCTGTGACTTTCTTCCCCAAAGAATAGAATAGTTCTATGTATCAGCAGTAGGTGTCCCAGCTCCTGCTAGGTAAAATGTAAAGGTCCGATCTTCATAGGTCCTTCCATTGCCAGCTTCAGAGCAGTTGGAGTGGTGAGATGCATGTCTCAGGGTCTTAATTTTTATTGTGTAGTATGTATGCCTTCAAAATGGAAATACTTTGTGCTCTAGTTCACACTTAAATTTTGAGTTTTCTGATAACTATAAGTTGTTTAAGTCTTCCTTTTATATTAGAATCCTATTTTTCTCCTCATAAAGGAAGACGAAAAAGGATGAGAAGGAAAAGTATTCCTTAATAATAAAGTGAAGATAATTTTTTTTAATTAAAACTCTTCGATTCTCATAACACTATTCAGGTGTTGTTTCTGAATGCCAACAAGAGAGATCTCAACTGAAAAATAAAGAGATGGCTATGAAAAAGTTACGTGCAAAACTATACAGCATGCAGCTTGAAGAAGAAACAAATAAAAGATACAATGCTAGAAAGATTCAGGTAAAACTGAAATGAAAATACTTTTAAAGGATAAACATTTAATTCTGTTTTTATAGTAATCTTACACCTATGCTCTGCTTTCTATATTCAAGGGCGTTTTTCTCAGACTTTGAATCACTTAACTAAAAACAGATAGATATATGGCGTCTCCATTCTGAAAATTATGGAAGATGGAAAGCAAACTGAACTTTCTTCCTATTATTTAACTAGAGACATTTTACTCATACTGTATTAATGGGAAATACATCACTTTGTCATCATTGAAGATAACTAAGTTAATTCACAGAGATTATATATAGTTACCATTTGAATATCACTGTGCCACCCTTTATGTACACATCATCGCTGTGTAGTTGGTATTATTTGTATTTTACACATGGCGAAACTAAAGTTGAAATAGATTGCCTGAGGTCCTAGAACACGGAAGTGGCACAGGATTCAAATACTAATTTGTCTGCCTGTAAAGCCCCTGTTATTTTTTCTCTATGTTCCCATGTTATTTGAGGAGTCAGGTTAAAACTTGGTTCTTACATTATGTTTCAGATTATAAAGCAAGAGCTTAATTTCCAGTTATGTGAAATTTGTAGGTTTAGTTGCCCTGAATTTAACTGTATCTCATATCTTTTTATATATGTATAGATTGGAAGTAAAGGAAGGTCAGAGAAAATAAGGACATACAATTTTCCACAGAATCGTGTCACAGATCACAGAATAAACACGTCACTTCATGATCTTGAAACGTTTATGCAAGGAGAGTACCTACTGGATGAACTTGTACAGTCATTGAAAGACTATGCGGATTATGAATCGTTAGTAGAAATTATTTCCAAAAAACTTTAAATTGATTTGTTATTAAAGACTTTTACAACTAATGAAAAATTTTACTACAGCAAATCAGATTGTGTGTAATCACCAATATTGTCTTGAAACATGAGTTAACAGGAGCAATATGCATATTTTTAAGAGTTTATGTAAATAAATCTCTCAAAATGTATTAGTAAAAATATACATACAATATAATCATGGCTCTGGTTATGTATTTTGGACCCCTTAAAAGAAATAGACAAAGGAAAGTCATTGTTTTATGTAAGATATTTAATAACTGATCCAAAATTGGTTTATTATAAAACACTTCAAACATATAGTAGAAATATGACAGTAAATACTGTATTAGTTAAGGTCTAGTCAGAAAACAGAAACCATACCATTAAATTTTTTTTGAGTGTTTTTCCTGATTTTAGAGAGGAAAGGAGAGGGAGAGAGAGAAACATCAATGAGAGAGAAATATCCATTGGCTGCCTCTGCACACCCCTTACTGGGGGTTGAGCAGGCAACCAGGCCATGTGCCCTGACTGGGAATCGAATCTGCAACCTCCTGGTGGGTGGGATGATGCTCAACCAACTGAACCACACTGGCCAGGCCATACCATTACTTTTAATGGGGGTAATTTTGATAAAATGTTTTAGCTGATAATGGGATCAGCTATTGGGGAGAGCTCATACACTAGGACTGAGGTTGTCCAAGGATAGAACACCCTTGGAAGGGACTTCCCTTCCCCAAGGGGTCAAGGCAGGCCAGTGGGAGAGGGTGTGGCTCCAGCTCAATTAATGACAAACTTTCCTTGGGTCAGAGCTGGCAGGTTCCCACTGCCTCCCAAACAGAACTGATTCTTATGCGTGCGGACGTCCACATCTGTATCCAGCATCATTTCAAAGTAGCCCATTTTACACACCACCCCCTTACATCGTATCAAATTGCATATTTTTGTTTACAATAAACGCACCTGACTTAAGCTTGCCCTGATTTTGTTTCTTATGCCATGGAAGGCTTCCTTCCTTTCCACTCTCTCAAGACACCCCCTACACTAGTGGTTCTTGCCAACAGGCGATCTCACCCCGTAAGGAACATCTGGCGATGTTTGGAGACAGCTGGCTACACAGGGGAGTACAGGCTAAGGAATGCTGCCGAATCCCCTACAGTCCGCAGGGCGGCCCGCGACAGAAGCATCTGGCCCAAACTGCCAGCGGTGCTGAGGCTGAGAAACCTGTCCTACAAGTCACCCCACCCACCGTTCTATAAGGAGTTCCACAACTAGATGTGTTCTCCCCGACGTTCCTTGTAGCTGTATCTTATATATGTTATCTCCTCCCCCTCGTATCCCATGATGCTCTTACTCACAGGCTATCTACTGAGCATTTCGTGTCTATTAGGGGGCAGGCCCGGACAATAACCACGCGGACAGGTACCACCTCCCAATTATTTTCACTCAATCCCGAAAGTCTCAGAAATGGCAGACAGTAAGAATTTGCTGGAAGAACAAAGGCAGTTCCCTCTTCACCTCATTTTGCACCTAGAAACTCAACAGTCCTGACCGATGCTGATTATGTCAGCTCCCGAAGGCCAGAACTTGAACTTCTTTTCCACCTGCACCTCCCGCCCTCGCACCAGGGCCAGGCGTGTAATGGGAGCCCCATGACTAAAGGTGCAGAATTTAAGGGGATGCCCAACTGCTCCGCCTTCACTCTGTCCCCTAACAAACGCTTCACTAATAAACTCTCCCACTTTAAATTAAAAAACAAAACAAAGAGACGCCAAATTTTCAGTAACCAAGAAAAATACTAACAACACGACATTCTAAAAAAAAAAAAAAAAAGTATGCAAAGAACTAGGACAGTGGTTCTCAACCTTCCTAATGCCCGACCCTTTAATACAGTTCATGTTGTGGTGACCCCCAACCATAAAATTATTTTCGTTGCTACTTCATCCCTGTAATGTTGCTACTGTTATGAATCGTAATGTAAATAGCTGGTATGCAGGATGTATTTAGGCGACCCCTGTGAAAGGGACGTTCGACCCCCAAAGGGGTCGCGACCCACAGGTTGAGAACCGCTGAACCAGGATGAACTAATTATCAAAATCTTCCATAAACACGGCTCCACCCCGCAATGGCCTGACTCTCGGCCGATGCCTCCCCACCCTGCCTCCCTCGGGACTTGCCACGGACTTAACGGAGCGCTTACTAGAAGCCAAGTACTAACTCTCCCTGAGGCTGCAGAAAAGCAAAAAAAACAACCACCAAAAAACCCACTAAAACTGCAAAACACAAGGATTCGGACGCTGAGGTTATATGATGTGGCTTCCTCGCGCGGCCGCGGGGCGGAGTCCGGGGAGGGCGCTGTCCCTGCGTCAGGACACACTCAACAGCGACAATCAGCAGCAGCGCACCTGTCACCCAGCCTCGGCCACGGCTCCACCCCGCCGTCCCCGGAAACCACGCCGGCCGGAGCCGCCGCCCCGCGCGTGGCCATCACAACTCCCGGGGGCTATGACTTGGGAGCAGGATTACTGTCTCTCGCGCTTGGCCCTTGCAGGAAAGAGACAAAAAAAAAACTAGATACAAGTTTAAAAAGCTCAGGGCCCGCACAAAACAATGGTGGCAGGAGAAAACAAACAAACAAACACTCTTACAAGAAAGCAGTGCCTTCCTGCCTCCACCTCACACCGGCCGGAAGGACCCAGGAAGGAGGTGCCGGCTCCAGCCGCCGCCGCCGCGCCGGCGGGACCAGGTGCGCGCGCCCCGAGGACCCGCCCCCTGGCTCACGTCCCTCTCCTTCCCTCTGAGAAGCGCGAGGGCCCCCAGCGCGCAGGCGTCAACCCGCCAACTCCGCAGCCACCGCCCGCCAAAGCGCCTGCGCACCAGCGCTGGGCCGGAGGCGGGGCGAAGGCAGGAGGGAGAGTGGAGCGCGCCCAAATCCTAGAGAGGCGGGCTGAGGAGGACTGGGGGGAGGGCTCGTCTTCCGGAAAGTCTGCGTTCCCGGACGACCAGAGGCGCCGCTCACCGACCTCCCGCACAGGAGAATGGCCAGAGAGAGCCGGCTACCCTGTGTCCCCATCGGAGATCTTCAGAGAGGAGCCGGCGCTGCCATCGGGATGAGACCAGGACTCGCCGGAGGCCGGCTCCCACCGCCGAGGGCGGCTGGGCGCGTGGGCGCATGCGTGGTAGGCTCCCTCCACGTGTGGCTGGGCCGCGGCCTCCCCGCGCTTCGAGGCCCCGCCCCGGCCCCGCCCCCGGTCTCAGCATCCTTCCGGGCGCGGGGAGCCGGGCGTGAGGAGGGCGGGTCCGCCTCGCGGCTGGCCCCGCCTCAGCGGCCTTCCATTGGACTTGGGTGAGGGCGGCCCCGCCCACCGCCTTCCCATTGGGACGCGCATGCAAGCGGCGCGTCCCATTGGGCTGTGCGAATTTGGGCACCAAATTCAAAGATTTTAAAAGTACCAGCTGGCGCCTTTTAGGAGATAAGAGCTCGGTGCGGCTGCATCCCGCTCCTCGCGTGGTGGCAGGTCGCGCACCTGAGGAGGACCCGGCTGCCACTGCCATGAGCCGGCGCGCCTGCAGCTGTTTCCCCTCCAGCTCCAGCTCCCGCTCCAGCTCCTGCAGCTGCAGCGTCGTGACAGCTCCCAGGCGCCCTGGCTCCTTGAATAGTGAGTGAAGGGAGCGGGGGGTGCGGGCTCCAGGAGGGGTGCGGGTTCCAGAAGGGGTGCGGGCTCCAGGAGAGGTGCATGCCGAGGGGTGAGGGGATCCCACCCCGGAATCCGACTGTGCGGCCCCACGCTTGGACCCCGGGCGGGCGCCGGCGGGGGTCCCTGGGACCAGGAGGAAGAATGCGGCGTTCCGGGAAGGGAAGCCAGATGTGCCGAGGTGGGATGGCGGGCCCGGGCCCTGCCCGCCGCGCCGAGCCTGGACGCCAGCTCCGAGGGCGGTGCGGGTGGCGGCCTCCAGGGGCGCCCTTCTGCCCCTGGATGCGGTGCCTCCCCACCCGGCCGGAATGGGCGCCAAATGCCCCTCCCCTCCCCCACCGCCCCAGGGGCTCGGGCTCCGCGGGGCGGCCCCCGGGGCCTGGCCAGGTGTCTGCCCGGGTGCCTGACCCCCACTCCTTGAGCCCCCTTTCCACGTAGGGCCCGGATCCCAGGTCAGCCTCCCCGGGTTGGGCCACCTCAGCCTTGCTGGCGGGCGCGGGAGATCCTGCTCGCGGTTATCTCCCGCCTCCACCACCACTGGCCCGCGCCCTCGGGGGGCCCCCGCCGCCCCCCAGCATCTTCGGGGTCTCCCCCACCCACTCCCGCCAAATACAGGGACCCCCCTCACGGAACCAAGTTCTCCAGGGGTGTCCAAGCAAAAACGTTCAATTTCTCTCTTTTTTTTTCTTTACCCAGTAACTCAGTCTCAAGGCCCAGAATCAAAGGGAGAGAAGGAGGAAAAAAAAATCACACTAGTTTTTAGCACAAAACCATGGATTTGGCCATTTTGAGCTGATTTTGTGAGAACTGAAGAGTTGTGGGGTTTTTTTTTTTAATCTGTACTCCTGAAACACTAGGTTTTTATTCCAAACTTGGGTAGAATGGAAGGCGCCCAGATAAACGCTTGTTTTTATTCTCTTTGTTGCTGTCTCTAAAAGAGATGGAAATGCACTTATTTTAACTTAGAAATTACCAACGTTTTTTAAGTAGCAATTTGATAGTGTGATATTTGGTGATCTCTGGAAGATGCCCATTTCTCTAGAAAAGGAATCTGGAATAGGAGAGAGAGAGAGGGAAAAAAATACTTAATTTTTACAGATCAGATGGCTCCCTTGTGAAATGCTGAAGCTTGATGGCTTTAAGTTTTTTGGTTGTTAAATTACAATTGTCTCTTTACCATCTTACTCCTAAAGAGAATGTTTGCAATCCTCTTGAATTCTTTTCCTGTTTATAAATTCGGGGAAATGAAATTTTAAAATTTATTGAGTTCCAACATTTTTTTAAATTTTCTCTTAGGGATTATGGCTGATAGGCAGGTAATGGTAGCAAGGTTTGGGCCTCTCTTAAATTTTGGAACAGCCAGGCCTAGCGTTGGGCACATGGTGGCTGTCTTACGGGTACTGGAGATTGTAGAACTTAGTTATTTAACATTGGAAGAGCTGCAAAGATTTTTAACTAATAAGGAGTGTCAGATCTATAGTGAAAAGTTAAATAGGTTACCTTAACTAATAATGTCTTTTTCATGATTGTACTCTAAATGAAAGGTGTAAAAAATGCAGTATGTTGAATCTACCAACTCCAGGAGGTAGATATTAATAGCTCTGTTTTAGAGAAAATGAAAGACTAATTGAATGTTCTAGGTTGCAAAAGCTAGTCAAAAGGCTGAGCAAGGATTTTCATTTGAAACTGGAGCTCATTCCTAGGACAAATATATAATCTGAAATGCATACATCTATCTGTCTGGGGTAAATTTTGCTACTTATAAAATGTTCATGATATACAGGAGGAAGGATATGAAGGGATTTGACTTAGAATAATGTGGTAATTAGACTTCTGTAGATTCTGTTGATTAGACCACATGTGGCAGGGACTGTGTCATAAGTTTAGTTCAGTTTTATTTTCTCACCCCTGTTTTATAGATGAGGAAAGAGTTAACTTCCTTAGTTTTCTCCAACTTGACAAATGACACTTTATAGCTTAGATCTTAAAACTTTGAACCCTAGGGTATTTTTTACTCCAGTTTCCTTCATTGTCCACATCTAACACATCAGCAAGCTCTGTTGACTTGACTTGACTTACCCTCCTCAATAGGTCTCATATCTGTTCATTTATCTTCATTTCCACTATGGCCATCCAGTCTCAAGTACTCAACTCTGAAATTTTCTGATACACATTTCTAACTAGCCTCCCTGCTGCCACTTGTACCTTCCTACAATCCATTTTCCACAGCTGCCATGATTCTTTACCTTTTTTTTTTATCCTCATCTGAGAATTTGATTTTAGAGAGAGAGAGAAACATCCTGTTCCCACCTGACCAGGGATTGAACCCATAACCTAGGTATGTACCCTGATTGGGAATCGAACCCACAACCTTTAGGTGTATGGGGTGACACTCCAATCAACTAAGCCATCCAGCCAGGGCGGCTGCCATTATTTTAAAAAAATGTAAACCAAAATGTTTCTACTTAGAACCTTTCAAAGGCTCTTTATTACACAATGAATATAATTCATCCTACCCTAAAAATCCTATAGATCATTCTGCCTCTCCAACCTTACTTTTCAACCACCTAGCTCACTACGTTGCAGTCTTACAGAACTTTCTATACTTGAATACTCAACACTTGTCCTTGCTTCTAGTACTTACCTCTGTCTGTAACTCACATCTTCACAAGGCTTTCAGATCTCAGAATGTCACCTCCAAAAGATTCCTCTCCACACCAAGTCACTAAGTAGGATTGGATGAATGAACAAAGTGTCAGAACTAGACTTTGAAACTCATCCATCTGATTTCAAGAGGTCATGAAACCTTGTGATATTTTTCTTTCTGAATACGCAAATCAATTATATAAATACATATATTTCCCCATATTGTTTAGGGATATTTATCGGCTTGGTCATTGGAAAGCACTGAACTAGTTGAAAGACCAGGAATTAGCTTTTTACAAAGTCTGCTTTCAGGTTCCTTTCACATAAAAGTGGTACTTTTTATTTTGTAGTATTGTTAAAGTATATTACATAGTTGTACATTTTAAAACTAAATCTACAACTAGCATCTAGATTCTGGGACCAATAAAATGAACGAGCTTCTTGGAGAAATAACGGATTCTAAGTCTAGAAAGTAAGGAAAGGCACAAAAACAAAAACAGTGGAAGTGTGTCGAATGGACATGAACTTACAGTGGCAACGCTGGAACAATCCCAGTTACTGGGTTCTGAAGACAAGCAGAAGAACAATGCCTTTGGAAAGAGTGAAATAAGAGTTTCTGAAGTACAATTTTAGGCCTCTTCCCTTTAGGCAGCTAAACAAAGTAAAAACTATCTTTATAGGTGACTTCTACAGATTAAATACGGCCATGTGTAAATTATACTTAATTTTTTACTTGAGACAAAAATATCTCTCTTGGAATATTTTACTTTTTCTGGGTGGAAGAGAAGCACTCAGAATAATTCATTCAAGTTAGGGTTAATGGGGGGGGGGGTGTTTAGACGTGTATACTCTTTATTTACTTATGTCCCAAACTCTTAGCTTAAATCTAAATTTTAGGATTTAGTACAAAGTTTATGGGGTCCTAGAGCACATACTATGTCTTCCAGTGTGTTAATCATTTGGAATTTAAAGAGTCCCTACCTACAATGTTACTCTCTATCAGCATGTCCTTTGGTGCTTTAACTTAAAGGTTTTGCTCTAAATAAAAATGGTAAAATTGTTATAACGATCTTACCAATATTTGGCGTAGATTAAACATACTGACTGGTATATTCATTTACTTATAGGATAAGTTGTTAGCTACTTATGATTGGGGAGAGTAGATGGGAAGTAAACTTGAAGCATATGCTCTTTGTTCACTGTGCCCTCAATAACGCTAAGCAGTTTTTCTGAACCCATTACTACATTCCTTCCCAACATAGCGCCCTTGCTCACACTGTCTGAGTGCCCTTTCCAGCCTCTATTACCTGCAAAATCCTAATCATTGCAAGCAGTGGTTCTCAACCGGATAATGGGGGAGACTTTGCTGCCACCGCCTTCCCACCATTCCCAACATTTGGCAATAACTGGTGACGAGACAGTTTTCATTATCCTACCTAAGGGGTAGGGGCTGTGAATGGCATCAGATGGGTAAAAGCTGCTAAGTATCCTACAATGCATGGGACAGCCCTCAACAATGATGAATTATCTTGTCCAAATGTCAGTAGTGTACAACTCTGAGAAGGCCTGATTTAAAGATACTTTTAACTGATTTCTAAGGCCTTTGGCTGATCGTACAAGTGTTGGCTTTTTTGAGTTATGCTTAAGTAAAGCTGACTAGTGTCATTTCAAATCCATGGTATAAACACATTCTAGAAGTGTCGTACAAGTGTTGGCTTTTTTGAGTTATGCTTAAGTAAAGCTGACTAGTGTCATTTCAAATCCATGGTATAAACACATTCTAGAAGTGTTTGATTACTTAGGGTATCTCTGACCTGAGACCCCACTCTTGATGTCTCACATCTCCTTATTTTTTCCATAAGCACAGATATCTGTTAAATAGTCCCTCTTTCACTATTTTTTACTCAGTCAATATAGATTCTAAAAGTCAAATGTAGTTAGCTATACAGGTCTAAGAGCAATCTGTTTTGAAGTACCCTTTTAAGAATAAGATATGTATATATAAAATAATATTTCCTCATATTGTCACATTTCCATAATTAAACTTTGATAACTTCACAGCCACTTAGGCAATACACAGAGCTAAGAGATGCAAAGTAATTAAATATTATATCCCATTTTAAATAGTAAGGATATGTTGAAATTTTGTTATTAAGAAGTAAATATGTTATGTTCTTTTTATAGGTTGCAAAGAAACTTCTGATCTTTCTATCAAAATGAAGTATGATTTTAACTATAACCATGTTCATTCTGGAATTAAGCTGGTAAAACCGGATGACAGTGGAAGGCTAGGTTCCTACACTTCTGCATGTTTGGAAAGTTCTAATAAAGACTGCATTAAAGACTATGAAAGGCTATCAGATATCGGGTCACCCATTGTGAGCCCCAGGATTGTAGAATTTGAAACTGAGAACAAACCCTTGCATAACAAGGAAAATCAACATGTGCAACCAACACTTAATAGATCAAATGGAATAGAAGAACTAGAAACCAATGGACCTTATGAAGACAGTGGCTATTTTTCATTTTCCCAAAAGAGTGTCCTGGATGAACAGGAAGAGGCTAGCCTTTCCCTGGAAGAAAATTGCAATGACAGTCCACAGTCTTGTCTACCTCAGACTCAAAGCCCAGGCCAATATCCCAACAAAAACTTGATGCCAGCTCTTCATTTTGCAAAAGTTGTTTGTTCAACATTAAAAAAGAGTGCCAGACGGAATCATAAAATAGATTGGGAGAAGCTAAAGGAATATGATGTAGGTTTTCGACTACAGAATATAATTGGCAGAAAAATGGGCCTAGAATATGTAGATATTCTCAGTGAACTCTTTCGAAGGGGACTCAGACATCTCTTAGCAAATATTTTAACACAGCTCAGCGATATGGACTTAATCAAGTAAGTATTGTTGCTCTGAGTATTCATATAATACACTAATGCAAATTATTTTTGTTAGATTGGGACCTTTTTCTCTGGGTTCTGAAATTTCTGTTATGTAAGCTACATCTTTCTGGCTTAAGTATAAGACAATGTCTAGTTCTAGTGTATAGGTGTAATAAGCATTGTGACTTATCGCAGTTGAAATGATTTCTGGTCTTTTAGGCCATTTAAGTGTTCAGAAGTACTCTGCAATTTTTTTACACTGGTCTTTATAAAACATGTAGCGAAAGCAAAACAGATAAGTAAATATTGATTTTTTATTATTGGCTAGCTTCTTAAGGGATAATCAACATCACAAGTTGATTGCTACTAATAACAGTGTGTCCTTAAGCACTTTAAAATCTGTCTACAACTTTTACCAAATAGCTAACAAATAGTAAGCAGTGGCTACCTACTTGATGTTTGCAGATAATGTGAAAAAAAATCCTATATAATAAAAGCCTAATATGCTAAGTGTCCGGTCGACCAGTCGGCCGTTCAACCAATCAAAGCATAATATGCTAATACTATGCTAAGGCCGCTCAACCGCTCGCTATGACATGCAATGACTACCAAGGGGTAGACTGTTGACCAGTCGTTATGATGTGCACTGACCACCAGGAGGCAGACAGTTGACTGGTCAACCAGTCACTATGATGTGAAGTGACAACCAGGGGGAAGATGCTCCAACTGGTAGGTTAGCTTGCTGCTGGGGTCCGGCAGATTGGGACTGAGTGAGACAGGCCTGACACCCTGGAGCCCTCCCGTGGCCCCTCCCTGGCTGGCCAGTCTCCCGCATCCCTCCCCAGCCCCAGTCATGCATCAGTGGGGTCCCTTGGCCTGTGCCCTCTTGCAATCCGAGACTCCTCAGGGGATGTTGGAGAGCCAGTTTTGGCCTGATCCCACAGGTTAGGTCCAGGGACCCCACCGATGCACGAATTTGTGCACTGGGCCTCTAGTGAAATATAAATCAGTAGTTTTTAAGCCTGGATGCACTTTGAATTACTTGATAGGGAACTTTTTTAAAAATACAGAACTCTGTCTCCCATTTTAGACCAATTAAACCCAAATGCTAAGCATGAGGTATCCTTAAATCTTAAGTGCCCTGGGCAATTCTAATAATGTAAAGTTAAATTTAAGAAACAGTGCTAATAAAAATTTCTTTTTTGCACATTAATGTTTCCATAGTATATTCATCTGAGCTCTTTGTGATGCTTTAATTGTGTATTTCATAATCATTTGTTTTTCCAGTGTGTCTAAAGTGAGCATAACTTGGAAGAAGATTCTAGAAGATGATAAGCGAACATTGCAGTTGTACAATAAAGCAATACAAAGAGTTACTGTAAGTCTTTGCAGTTGATGTTTTCAGTTTAATATACAGTAGCTAGTGATCTTTACCATTAGAAATAGAAGGGGGAAATTAGAAAAGATAACAGGTAATCTGTTACATTCAAAAAGCAATTCAACCTTTACTAGAACTCATTATAAAATTTATATGGAAAGGGTAAGGAATCCCACTTCAGTTGTTTAGTCCTAAAAATGGAATGTCCAAAGGGAAAATTACTTAGTTCTCAGTGTGTGTTGATCATACAGCTAATATAGGTTGCCATTTTGTGTGTATTTTTCTAGTTACCAGATATATAGTAAATTATTTATATACTGAAGATTCTTAATATAGAAGAGAATTAATTTATTTTCAAAAATTCTTCAAGATCAACACCTATAATACTTAACAATAAAAATAAATTTTAAAAAATACTTCAAGATCAATATATATTTCAGACTGAAGAGTGGGGCAAACTTAGGTCCAAATTTTGGTGCTGCTACTTATTAGCTGTGTTGCTCTAGGTTAGTATTGCTTTCATTCTCCAAGTTTAATTTCTCTATCAATAAGCTGTTGTTAATGGAAAATTTTCTAATCTAAAAGGTGGTATTGAATTTTCATGACACTACGGTGACACTTAAGCATGACTATTGCCCTCTGCTGTTGGTAGGAAGAATTACTGTTCTGGCAGAACTTTAGAAATCGTGTATTCAATGCTATATAGACTAAGCATGTCAAATGCTCACATTTTGGTTTATAATTTCTGTTGATAATTTAGTTATTAGCCTTTAAATGTTTATGTGAATACTTTTGTGTGGCTGTTTTTTTTTAAGCATGTGTAGGTAAACTGAAATCCTATTAATTTTTTTTTTTTAATTAGGAAAAGAACATTAAGTTTTCATCTAATGCTTTAACCAGAGAATATGGCATGTTTAGAACTGCATTAGCTTCTGTTCAAAAATCAGCAGCCCAGACTCCCCTCAAAAATGATGCTCAAGACAAGTTATCTGATCCAGCTGATCAGAAAGGTCCTACTTATAGTTGGCACAATGAATTCTCTGAGGTAATTTTTTTGTTTATTGATAAATTAGAGTCATATGGGATATTTATTGTTAAGAGGATTTTAGAGCAGTGGTTCTCAACTTTCCTAATGCCACAACCCTTTAATACATTTCCTCATGTGGTGACCCCCAGTTTCATTGTTACAAATTGAACATAATTAAAACATAGTGATTAATCACAAAAACAATATGTAATTATATATGTTTTCCGATGGTCTTAGGCGACCCCTGTGAAAGGGTCGTTTGACCCCCAAAGGGGTCACGCCCCACAGGTTGAGAACCGCTGGTTTAGAGTATAGAGTAAGAAAGGGAGAACTTTAAATTTAATCATTGCATAATTAGAACTATTAATAGAGGCCTAATCTTCTGTACCCTTCATTCTACTCCCAAAAGTGTTAGAAATTAAGAAACCATTTCATAACTAATATATTGGGAAAGTACAGAGATGCCTTTCTGTGATAAAAAATAATATACATTTGGCATTGTTAGACAGTTTAGTGATGTTGAAATCTAATTAAGAAGTACTAAGAAAATAATGGAGACTCTTGATTTTAAAGTTCTTTGCTATATCTAAGCAGAACAGGGCCAACTTTTCAGAAATTCAGGGCCTCCTATTAAACCTTCACATCACTGGGTAATGTGTATTACAAAAGTTCTCACATGGATAATTTTGCAAACTTAACTTAAAAATCATAGTTAAAAGAGTATATGTTTAGAAATAAAATGTTGACCTCATTTGTTGGTCAATAAATACAAATTTTATGTAATGAAATTTAGTATTCTATTACTCTGATGCCTGATAATAATGTAAGTTTATTCTGAAGCATTTTTTGAGCATCTGCTATCTTACTGGTACTGCATAGATAAGAAAACAGGGTAGTAACCTTCATAGCCTTATAATCTAGAATAAAAAATAGCTACATTACAGAAAAAGTATGAAATATAATAGGCACTTTAAGAAAACAAGACTAGAGGTAAAAGTGCAGCCAACTCCTGAGTGATACTAGGGAAATGTCACAGAAAAGGTGCCTATTAAGTCAGGCATTGATGTGTGAGTAGCATTCATGGAGGAAAAGAACATATTTAAAATAGCGTTAGGAAATTACTACTGAACCGGCTGATATTATCTCTCACTCATTGATAATATCAGGGCAAGGGTCTTTTGCATAAACGAGGAGTTCTCTTATGTGTCACATTGGTTCTTTATGCCCATATTGGGGTGGGTACAGAGGTGCCATTCTTGTTTTTCCAAAGTTACATTCAATTCAGTATTTACTAAAATTTGTTTGTGGATTTTCTTACTAGGTTGCCAAGACATTGAAAAAGAATGAAAGCCTCAAAGCCTGTATTCGCTGTAATTCACCTGCAAAATATGATTGCTATTTACAGAGGGCAATCTGCAACAGAGAAGGCTGTGGGTTTGATTATTGTACAAGATGTCTGTGTAATTATCATACCACCAAAGACTGTTCGAATGGCAAGCCTCTAAAAGCCAGTTGTAAAATGGCTCCTCTGCCTGGTACTAAGAAAAGCAAGCAGAATTTACGACGATTGTGATATCTTATTAATATCTGTTATAGCTGATTATGAAGGTTAGTCAGAAAATGTTAGGTTTTAATTTAAAAAATTAAGAATATTGTGATTTTCAATTTTATGTTGAATTGAGTATCCGGCAAGGGATTTCTCTGCCCGCCTTCTAAGTGGAGGATGCAAACCTCTTAAAATATTTTATAATTTAATGTGAAAAAGTTCAAAGTTCTCAGCATAAGTCAGGAAATTTAAATATTTTAAGAAAAAAAATTGTCACCTGATAGTTGTTTTAGAGATAAAATAAAATTGACTGAATGTTTTAATAAAGAAGCTCATGTAATTTTACCTACACAATCTTACCTAAATTTTGTTTACCATCTATTAGTATTGGAGACATTTTACTTGCCTTACCAAATTAATGTCTTTTGAAGTAGCAAGTCTGGAGTCTTAATTTAAATGTTTTGTCACATTTCTTTAATGTCTTTTTCAGTGTGTATATTTCCATGTGTCCTTTGTGAAATCCTGTTTGCTTTGATTTGTAAAGTCTGTATGTTTTAATATTTTTGTAAATATATAAATATTTCTATTTTTATGTGAAGAAAATAAATGATTTGTATATATATGTAAAAATAAATTTTGTCCTGTTATGAATAAAATTATCACAAATTTAATAAATATTGTGAACTTTTATTTATATGTCTTACCTGGTAGAAGGGCTTTAATTTTTTTTAGAATGCAGATTTGCTGGTCTTTCAGCATTTGCATGTCTAAAAACATTTCATCTTTTTTAGTATGGAGAGTTTATTATGTGCCAAATGTCTTTTTCTTTATCAACTGCCCCTAGTAAGTCCCTGTAATTCCATCCCCTAATACCCCTAGCTTCTGGCATTCACTAATCAACTTTCTGTCTATAGTTACCTATTCTGAACATATTACATAGGTGAAAGTATACACTTAACATAATGTGTTCAAGGTTCATCCATATTGTAGCATGTGTAAGTATTCCTTTTTGTAACTGAATGATATTCCACTATACAGATATATCACATTTTTTTGTAGACATTTGAATGATGCTTATATGAAAATCATACACAAGTTTGTCTGAATATGTTTTTTATTACTTTGGGTTTGCCTAGGAGTGAATTGCCGAATAGCATGGCAATTCTATGTTTAATTTTTTTGAGGAACTGCCAAACTTCACAGCAGCTGCATTATTTTAATACTAGAGGCCCAACTAGCGGGACCAGTGGGACTCAGAGTCAAGTCCCTGCCCACCCGCGTGCGCCTCGCCATGCACGCAGCCTCCTGGTGACCAGTCTGTGGTCATGACTGCGTGACGGTGTCATGGCCAAGGGGTTTTATAACGGATTATTGTCTAAAATTGCCCTGGCTAGAACCTCCATGGTGAATAGAAATAATGAGAGTGGGCTTCATTGACTTGTTCCTGAACTTAGGACACTGCCTGTGCAGCCATTGTAAATCGGGTGTTTGGGGGACAGATAAATTTCCCCTTTAGTGTACAAGTCCTTAGCTTGGAAGGAACCATACTTGAATTGTATTTCAAGAACATACCTCAAAAACCCCACCAATACCAGGGTCAGATTGAAGTGGTGAGATTCTCGATTTTGAGCTGAAGCTGTAATGGAATGAGGTTTTCAAGAGTGTAGGGAGAGGCTAAGTCTAGTTTTCATATGAGAGGGATGGGAATTATGGGAGTCAGAGAGCAGACTGTTAGCCTCTAAAATGTCTTCCAATGATCCCAACCTTGGTATTCACACCTTTATGTAAACCCTCGGCTTCCCCCGTGAGGGACACAGGCCCCGCCACCACCCCAGAGTGACAACCCACCAAATCGCAGCCAACGCTGCCATGGTGCAAAAGGCGGCCCACAGCCCAGCCCAGCCCACAAATGGTGGCTGTGGGCACCGGGTAATGACGTCACGTTTTTGTTGACATTCTGAAGCCAAAATTGTGGACAGAATATGTCTGAAGACCAACTATTGCCACAGTGTACCTCTGAAGCCAAAAGAAGCCCCATCGTGGAAAGAATGTATCAGAAGACCAACTATTAGCACAACATACCTCAGAGGCTGAAAAAAAGCCACGTTGTCAACAGAATATGTCTGAAGAACAACTATTTGCCGGGGTCCAACCCCAGCAGGTCCAGGGGTCCCCAAAGGTGTAGATGGAGTCGGCGAAGAAGGAATGACACGGAGACGGAGTTCAGTTGATCAGCAGCCTAGCCAGGATCTCCAGCCAGGATCTCCAGCCAAGTTCTGGTCTGGATCTCCAGAGAGGTTCTGCTGTTTATTGTTTTGTTACATCCGTATTTATACCAGTTGATTTTAATCCTGTCAATTTCTATTACAAAGGTTAGGGCGTTTCTTATCTCCATTCCAGGGAGTAAAGATTATGTAGCTTAAGCATGATTGTTTGTAGTGATTAACTACCTGCCTGGCACTTAGTTAAGGAGTTTTATCCCCTCCCTGACTTCAGGGAAAAATTCCTACCTGGGGAAACAACCTTTCTAGGAGAGGCATCCCCTCCCTGACTTCAGGGAAAAATTCCTACCTGGGGAAACAACCTTTCTCGGAGAGGTGACCTTGGTTAAAACACACAGCGCTAAGGGGAGCAAACATATTAAGAACAGTATGCTATATACGCCAGGTCCCTTGAAACATATGCTGTGCAGATGTTTCTATCCTGCAGCGACTGTGTCAAGCAGTAAGGATGGACCGGCTTCCGGCAACTATTGGCACAACGTATCTCTGAAGCCGAAAGAAAGCGACATCTGAATATGTCTGAAGAACTGTCACCGACAAGTACTACCAATACTGGTAGGAACTGCCTTCATCGCGAAAATGAGGTAAATGGGGATGCAGTTATCGAACACAGTTGTGGTGGATACTCAATGTTGCAGCAAAGGCAAAGTTTGTCCAAATGATAACAAATTTTCCAGGATACCTGGCATATTTTTAAAAAATTAATGACAAACAAAGATCCTGGCAGTAAAAGATTTCATGGAAAATATCCGTTGTTATATTGTTATTGTTTTTTATTAATCAATTTATATATTATTTTCATGTACATTTTATAATTTTCTTTCATCTCTGACACTTCTATTATAGAGAAATGGCAAATAGTGAGATTAAAATATTTCTTCTAATTAATTTCCTTTCCATGTGCATGAATTCATGCACCAGGCCACTAGTTAATAATAATATCATTAGGACTGCCCCAGGACTACTCACACATGGACTAACTGGGTCTGGCTTGTCTTTAGTCAAGGTTCACACGGGAATGTTATCTGGTACCCAGAGTTGAGCATGTTCATAGCCGGTGGCTGGGAAATCTGTCATACGCATTCACACAGCTTGAGGACTTGCCCCGAAGACTGCATAGAACAGAAAACAATGGTAGTTCCTCTATTAAAGCCATTTCTTAAATTCATGAACTGACCCTGATTGCCGATATCCCCCTTTCCGACAACGTAAACAACTCGCCACAAGGTGGTGCTCTCATAACACCGTACTTTTGAGCTTGCGACGCTTACTATCAAAGTGGATCCAACAGTATTGCTGCTTTCTATTCCATTTGTGTTTTAGAAGATTAAGGCCACAACATAGTGTTAAGCGAGAATAGGTAGATACAAACTGTTTACATTTTGGTTGCAATTTTTTAATGCCATCACCATCTCCCTGCAAGACACAATAAGGGACAGAGAGGAGAAGCCTTAAAGAGCCTAGTTGAGGGTGTCAGTTTCTCACCCTCCAGGGAGTACAGTACCAGGAGTAACAGGAAGCATTTTGAGAACCTCCTAGCCTCCAGGGAGCACGGTGCTTCTCAGATTGGGACTGAGGGGAAGTGGGAAGAGAGCATAGAAAGGCAGTCCTCCCCGCCCCACCTCCACTGCCTGAGCAGAGGAAAGTATCAGTGTTGGTACCTTCATAAAAGAGGCTGTTCAAGCATCAGGTTGTATGAGCCAGTTTGCATTTAAGGACCATTGGATTTAAACTGCTTGAGTGTATACTTTGATGAGCAAAGAAATAAAGTATTATTCTACCTTGGCGTTAGTTTGGGGGATGAGGATAGGGAGTTGCAGAAGCAGCTCTTAGGCCATATCTCAAGAATTCATGAATCCTGACAATCCTAGCACTTCAATGAAGGGAATAGCACGTATGTTAGCAATTCATTCGGGAGAAGATGGTGTACAATAGCTTCATGATCGTGTTTTGTTTTGTTTTTTTAATTCTTTATTGTTGAAAGAATTACAATGCCCCCTTTTCCCCCATTCACCTCTCCCAGCCCGCCCTGAGTCCCCAGCCCAGGCCTTCACTCCCCTGTTGTGTGCATTGGTTAGGCTTATATGAGTACAAGTGCTTTGATTGATCTCTTACCCTTACCCTCCCCTACCTTCCCTCTGAGGTTTGATGGTCTGTTTGCTGCTTCTATGTCTCTGGATCTATTTTTGTTCCTCAGTTTATGTTGTTCATTACATTCTACAAATGAGTGTGATCATGTGATATTTATCTTTCTCTGACTGGCATATTTTGCTTAGCATAATGCTCTCCAGGTCCATCCATGCTCTTGCAAATGGTAAGGGTTCTTTCCTTTTTACAGCATCGTAGTATTCCATTGTGCAGATGTACCACAGTTTTCTAATCCACTCATCTGCTGATGGGCACTTAGGCTGTTTCCAAAACTTAGCTATTGTAAATTGTGCTGCTATGAACATAGGGGTGCATATATTCTTTCTGATTGGTGTTTCTGATTTCTTGGGACATATTCCTAGAAGTGGGATTACTGGGTCAAATGAGAGCTCCATTTTTAATTTTTCGAGGAAACTCCATACATGTTTTCCACAGAGGCTGCACCAGTCTGCATTCCCACCAGCGGTGTATGAGGGTTCCCTTTTCTCCACTTCGTCCCAGCACTTGTTTGTTAATTTGTTGATAATAGCCATTTTGACAGGTGTGAGATGGTACTCACTGTCATTTTGATTTGCATCTCTCAAATGATTAGTGACCTTGAGCATTTTTTTATATGTCTATTTAGGTCCTTTGCCCATTTTTTGATTGGATTGTTTATCTTCCTTTTGTTAAGTTCCCTATAAATTTAGGAGATTAAACCCTTATTGGATGTATCATTGGCAAATATGTTTTCCCATGGAGTGGTCTCTCTTGTCATTTTGTGGATGGTTTCTTTTGCTGTGCAGAAGCTTTTTATTTTGATGTAGTCCCATTTGTTTATTTTCTCCTTAGTTTCCATTGTCCTAGGAGATGTATCGGTCATGATCATGTTTTTTTTGATATGCTGGCGAAACCTTTTTAATTAAAATTATTTCTAATAACATTGTAATCTGATATTTGTCCCTTGAGATTTTACCAAAAGATCCCTCCACACCATTGTCACTCTGCAGGCTTTGCTGTGTGTAGACAATGTGCGAGGGACCGACGTCATGTTAACTGTCTCGAATCTTCCTCAGTATTCTTACATTTTATGCCTGAGAGATTTTCCAGCCATTGTCTTGAGATTGCAAACTTTTGAAGGGCCCAGAATGTCAGCAAACTTGGGGCTTTTCTTCCTAGTGCACCTAATTTCCTTTTCCTTCCTGCTTTGGTTTTCCACCAGAGGGCATAATAA